GACTTTGGTTGGGGTAAATCTCTTGCAATGCTTTTTTGAGATTCTGCGTAAAAGAGAATGCCTTTTTTTTTTGTGGCGAGAAAAAAAAGTCATGAAACCTTGTTGACTTGCCTTTTATATTCCAGTTTTGAGATCGATTTGTGGGCACCATAGAAAGAGAATTACGTTTCTGGAATCACCTTAATCTATTTAATCTTTATGTCAATGTTCTTGAAAGGTTACTCTTTGTTCTTTGTGCTTCATGAATTATTCTCTATGTAGAATGATCAACAAGTAGAGATTGGTGCTAATAGAATTCGTAGTTTATACCTGAAGAATGCTTTGAAAAGGAGCTCATGTGATATATTGTCTTGCTATTAGATCAAGGATTAAGTATTTTTAGGTTTCTGATCCTTTCATTCTTTGTTCTTTTTTCCAGTTTATGTAGGTAACACGCATATCAAGTGCTAGAGTCAGATCACAAAAGTTACATCGGGTGATCTGGGCTGCTCTTTTTGCTTCTAAGCTAACTGCCCAAATTTGCTAAGCTGAAAGGTTGTCTTCGCATGGTTCTCAGTTAAAAAAGGTCAATCTTCATCGATGAGTAGTTGCTAATCTGAAAAAATTGTTTGGAGAGAAGAAGGCACATCAACTGCTAGTGCTAGAGATCTTTCTGCATCCATGCTGGTAGAGAGCATGCGTGGATACTGTGTTTTGGGTGATGCCCCTGACAAAATTAGTTCCCGATGCATTCGGCGTGGTGACGATATGTCTAGTCGCTCTGCTAATTCTTCTGGGTTTCCTTTGCATCGCTTACTCCTTCTATTTCCAGTCTCACGTTCATAGGCAAGGCTATATTCAACTTGGTTACTTCAGCGGTCCTTGGATTATCCGAATCGTATTCATTCTGTTTGCTATCTGGTGGGCTGTTGGTGAGATTTTTCGATTGAGTTTGTTAAGGCGTCACAGAAGGCTATTGAGCGGGTTGGATCTGAGATGGCAAGAAAACGTCTGCAAGTGGTACATCGTTTCCAATCTAGGATTTGCAGAGCCTTGCCTCTTTCTGACACTCATGTTTCTGTTGCGTGCTCCCTTGAAGATGGAATCTGGGGCCCTGAGCGGAAAATGGAACACGAAAACAGCGGGTTATATTATTCTTTATTGTCTCCCGATGCTTGCACTTCAACTTGCGGTTGTCTTATCTGAGTCACGCCTAAACGGTGGTAGTGGCTCTGTTGTAAAGCTGCCACACGATTTCACAAGAACCTATTCCCATTTTATTATTGATGAGGAGAAGGTTGCCTTGTGCACATATCCTCTACTGAGTACCATACTTCTTGGTGTGTTTGCAGCCATCCTAACTGCTTACTTGTTCTGGCTTGGAAGGCAGATACTGAAACTTGTTATTAATAAGCGTCTACAGAAGAGAGTATACACTTTGATATTCTCGGTTTCGAGTTTCCTCCCATTAAGGATTGTGTTACTCTGTTTGTCGGTACTCACAAGAGCAGACAAGATTATATTCGAAGCCCTTTCTTTCTTGGCCTTCTTCTCACTCTTCTGCTTTTCAGTGGTTTCCATTTGCTTGCTTGTCTACTTCCCGGTTTCGGATTCAATGGCCCTGAGAGGTCTAAGGGACATGGAAGAAGAGGATAGGACTGTGACTGAAGAACGCAGCGGTGCTCTGTTGCTTGCACCAAACAGTTCACATAATGAAGAGAGCTTGAGCTTAAGAGGTCGGAGAGATTCGGGATCTTCTTCACAGGAGAGGTATGTGGAACTCAGCCTATTTCTCGAAGCTGAAAACTAAACTCGCCAAAGGCTGTTTCTTTGGCCTTTGGCAATGTATGTACAGATTCCTGGTGAAACAAACAGAGAGAGGCTTAAAGACTTACGTCGCGCAAAAAAAAAGAAGGCATAATTCAGTTTTGTGGCAAAGACACTTTGACTGTAAAGGAGGCTTTGGTGGGGGATTTTACTCTTGTGAGGGTTTGTTGTTTGAAATGTTTTATGCTTGATGGATCATATTTTTGTACCTTTATTATGTGATCAATTTTGATTTAGAAAAAAACAAAACTAATCACGCTCTTTCCAGCACTGATTGTCTCCGAATTCCGAACATAATGTAACAATAAATTGGTGGAATAAAACATGACACGACTAAAATAGTAAAATTACAAATAGGCAAGCCAGGCAAGGTGTTTACAAGCGACGTCTAGCCGAAGTCGCTTTTCAAGCCAGGCAAAATATTTTTTTTACTAAAGTACTTGGTAGACGTCTTTTTCAAACGATTTTGTCTAAGTCGTGCATCGAAATCTCCATGCTATGCTCCAACCTAAAAGAGGATATAAAAAAATAATTATATGGGGCTTGTATATAGTTTAACTGGGCTTAATTATTGTGTTGATTAGGTTTTATTTTAGACTTAGTGTTAAGTATCCTCTTTATATTAATAGAGGAGATACTAGGCAAAAATTCATAAGTGAGGATTTTAAGTAACTCCTAATAAAAACTATTAAAAATTCTTAATGATTGATATATAGAAACAACAAATATTTGGTAATTAATATGAAGGATTTTGTTTAAAGAATATATAAAATATTTGAGAATATCTTATTTTCTTTTCAATAATTATTAGATTTTTTTATCCGAGTCAAACGCGAGATTAAACTATGCAAAACTAAAAATAAGAAAGATAAAAC